ATAAAAAGCCGATACCTTTGAATTGTCAAAATTTCATATTTTTTTTATTTAATGCTGGACCCCACAATACCCAGAAGGTAACCATTCGCAAAACCTTTCTCATGAATTCAATTTCAAAATCTAATTTAATTATTAATCTAATTTAATTATATATCATAATAATAGTAATAGCTGGCCACTCGTATTCGAGGATACCCATCTACTAGGGCAGATAGCCAATCCCTATTGCAGACTCATGGCATGGTTTTCAGGCACTTTCCAAAGGTGACATAAGTTTAGATCGTCCCTCTCCAGAAAAAATTAGGAAGTCTCCTTTCTGCCAAATCAATTGTAGTGAGGACACATATTTTCTAGGAAAATTTCTCGGACATTCAAGCTAGTAAATGTTGTTAATATTGTTTATTATAAACAGAGCATTTACTTAAATATTTGTATCTATAAAAAGAATGTATAAACATAAAGAAATGTCTTAAATATATATATATATATATATATATATATTCTCTCTCTCTCTCTCTCTATATATATATATATATATATATATATATTAGCCATATATATATATATATATATATATCACCAGAAGTATCTGTTCCAACTACTATGACAAATGGTAACTTTGAAATTGGTTTATACAGTCCATAATGACCTTTTTACAAGAGAAATCTTGGAAAATGATAAAATCAACAAGTAATGACATATTTAAAATTTATTTATTTATTAAAGAATTTGATTTTTCATTTCTTTGTGTCAAATTCATTGATCACTTAGCAAGTATCAGTTTTGTTCTGTTTGTTTAATGGCACATCAACAACTTATTGGTCATTTAATGCCAAAAATTAATTTTCTTGGGAACTATGAACTAGTAAAAATATGATATATGTTATTCTGCTTTCACAATTGAATACATGGTAGATGATATTCAGCTTTTGTGCATATACATATTTGTGTGGACAAAATTACTAGAAGCAGTGATATGTGTGTTTTATGTTGTAGTTTTGTTGAAGTTATATTTTGGAATACAGTTTGATTTCTTTAAGAAATTGTAGAATATTAATATGGATTAATATTATGAAAGAATTTTTTCATATTGGTTGTTTGGTTGATTTTGCCTAGTGGCACATCAACCATCACAGGTCACTCAATGCTGAAATCTAAATATTTTGAAAGCAATTGCATACCTTCAACTACAGATGAAATGTATTGTTGATCATTTTGCGTTAAATATGTATTGCTGGTAATTTTTACAATAAAAATGTATTTTATACTTTCCTAATGTTTTGTTTGACTGGGACCCTAACAGGTGCTATTACCCCAAGTCAGAGTAGACCTGGGGACAACAGCAATTAAGTGGTGGCTCCATGCTCCTCAAAACCTCCAATCTCCTGATTGCTGCCAGATGTAGTTTATTGTCATACCCAGAAATAAGTAAGTATCAGTACCATGTTCTACCTTCATCATCTTGGAAAAGAAGCAGAAGTTAACATCACTGTTTTTTTCTTATTTCTTTCTCACTCATTCAATCTTAACCTACCAGCCTTCTTTCACTTAGTGTTTTTGGTATAGGAGTGGGGGGGTATACAGAGACAGAGGTCTTCTCTACTAAACTGTTTGTTCACAATTTATCATAAGAAATGAAAAAATCAGATTTTTTTAATTTATCAAGTAGGAAAAATTATCAATAATTAATTTTTTATTGACATGATTTAAATTCAAATTACCATCCTCATCTTTGTTGTTATTATCACATTTCAGGCTTTGTGCCATCTATCCTTCATCACATGTATATCAATTTGGGAAAGCTCCAGGGAATTCTGAACTGAACCTTTTATTTAATCTACAGGGGTAGACTGTTCTTGTTCAACTGCCCATGTCTGAGTATAGTTCTTACTTTTAGTACTGCTCAGTTATTGCTCACTTTATTTCCAAGTACACAGTACCTGTGTTGTAAGGGAGAATATTTAGAATCGGTCATCAGATGAAAGACACAAAGATACTCTTACATCAAGAGGAGTATCAGTAGCAGCCTTTGCTGAATCAGGCTGTTTGCTGCCAGGCTCCCAACAGGCTTGTTTGGGCAGAGAGGAACTCAGATGAGCCTATGCCTATGAGCAGAGTCTCATCTGGGGAGGTAGACAAACCTAACCACATGTATGCGTTGTCTACAGAGAATTTTTATCCAAACCTACGGGCTCGAAATCACCCCACATAAAAATTTGCCTTGTGCCACATCCTGCCTTGTTACAACAGTTAGGTGACATAAGGATTGAGGTCTTTTTTAAGAAGAATTAAAAACAAGTTAACAACAAAAAGAAATCAAAAAGCATTTTATTGAATACAGTGGATTTTTTTTTCTTTCAACTTGAAAAACAAATTTCTATCAGTATGGAGGAATTTAAAACTGTTATACTGGAACTATTAAAACAGTAACAACAAAGCATGAAACAAATGCAGGAAATGTGTTTAAACCAACAATAGCAGCAGCAGCAGGAATACCAGAACCAACAATATAAAAAATGTTGGAAATTTTTTAAAATGTTGGATAATGAAGGAACTGTAATTACTCAAGATTCTATAGCAAATTCTATTTATGAATTCAACTGTAACAACTTATTCTTCATAGTATAAGCATTATGAAGATGTATTTTGATAAGATTTTCTCAGATGGGCAGACAAAAGAAATTTTCGGTTACTGCTACAAAAATTAGGACCTGTAGAGCATGAGAAATATGTAAACTATATACTTCCTAAGGAACCTACAGATATCACACTTGAAGAGACAATTCTGTTATTAGAAAAATATTCAATGATAAAAGCTCACTTTTAACACTCATTGGAATTGTTTGAATTTAGTAAAAAAAGGAGCATGAAGACTACTTAACATATGATACCATAGTTAATCATCAACATGAGAAATTCAAACTCAGTGACATGTTTAAATGCTTAATTTTTGTCCAGGGCCTTATGGCAAATAAAGACGCTGAAATTCATGCCCAGATTCTAGCAAGACTTGAGCAAGACACTAATTTAACCCTCCAGAAAGTAGCTGAGGAATGTAACAGATTAGAAAATTTCAAGCATGATAATCAAAAAATTGAAGATAGAGAAAACTGCCAAATGCATGCAGTATGTCAAGAAACAAATAAGGAGAGAGAAATTTTGAAAAATCTAACCTTTGTTATAGTAGAACAAATAACAAGAATTTTGTAAAGCCAAATCCCTGTTACAGCTGTGGAAAATTACATTTTAAAAAAGACTGTCCATATGATGACAAACATTGTTTTAAGTGTGGGGGAAAAAGGACATATACAGTCATACTGCAAATCAAATCAAAGAAAAATAAGGAAAGTTAGAAATACAGTGAATATGTCTTCAACTGAAGAATTGTGGCACAAATGAACATAAAAGGAAATAGGTTAATACTAAAATGAATGGAAAACTTGTAAAGTTCCAACTCGATGCATGGTCAGATTTAACTATATTAAATTAAGACACATGAATCAAATTGGGTAAATCAAGTTTAATCAAGTTTCAAAGGAGAATTTAATTGTGTTGCAGAATTTTCAGGTAAACCCATAAAAGCAAAAGTATTTCTAATGGAAAGAAGCAGTAATCTGTTGGGAACTGATTAGATAAGCTAGTTTAACTTATGGGACCTTCTATTAAGTTCATATTGTAATGAAATAAATATTTTGTCTTCTGATTCTTAAAAATTAAAAAAAATTAAAAACACTACCTGAAAGTTTTTCTGAATGTCTGAGGAGGTGCAAAAAAATAACTGCAAAATTTAAACAAAAAGAAAAAGGCTACAAAATTTAAAAAGGAACATGACATTAAGAAATAATGTCATTACCATAAAAATAATGATATTACTGTGAAATAGTCATATTACCATGAACATAATGATATTACTCTAAAATAATCATATTACCATGAAAATAATGATAGAAAAATAATTTTTCATAAAATCTAAAGATTTTATGACAAATATATAAAGATTAAATGTTTTTTAAAAGTTCATATATGGATTTTGTGGTATTTTCAAAGTTTAAATCATGTCAGTTTGTTTATATGGTAACATAATTACAACAAAATTACAGCATATAATATACTTTTAAAGGTATAAATAGGGAAAAAATCCAATAAAAATATTAACACTTACACATTTGTCCCCAAAATTGAACTTGTCCATGTTTACCATAAGAATTTAAATATTATCAGTGATGACAGCTTTTGAGGGTGTTTTCTCTCACTATTTACATGAATAGATACATTTTTCCAATTTTCTTTTCATTTACATAAAAAGACAATAAAAAGTATACTGAGTGCGTCCTTGGCAAGATAGCTTGATGGAACCCATTCCTCTTCAGGCTGGTTTTGAATTTAGAGTTTTCCTTCTCCAGGACTAGTTGCCCTAGCAAGATTAAAGAGCTCAGCCTGCCCTATAACAGTTATTTACAGTCATATATAAATAATTTTTATAATAATATCTTGTTACTGGATAAGGTTGTTTCTTAAAAAAATCATCAAGTAAGAAATCCTCATCGGAAGGTTATATGATGTGTTATATGTAATGTTTTTCCATTAAATATTAAGTTAATTTTTTTTGTCGGGGGCGGGGGGGGTCGCTGGTAATATTTTTTTATTACAACAAATGTTTTATTTAGTGGGTACACATGTTTGAGTAGACATCACGATATTTTTTTTTTTAAACAGCAAAATTAATGTCTAATGGATCAAAAAGTCTTAATAAAGAAAATGTGCCACCTGATAGAAATTGAACCTTTATTCCCATTTCGAATCAGGGAAACCATTTTTAAGCACAGTGTACCTTACCATTAGGCCATGAGAAGCCATCATAGCAAAGCAAAACTAAATTACTCTATTTCTGAAAGGCACATCTCTTGTTGGGACATTTCAAAGTCTATATTTAATAACTTTATTTTTATATCCAAAATGTAAACAGAGGCCTTTTCTGAATTTGATTTGAAAATGTTGTGTTATGAAGAACGTGCCTGTTGTTTATTGTTCTCACGATTTCCGCAGTTTACTCCAGCAATGTTTACAATTCCTAAAAAGAAAAGAAAAACACAAGATAAATTTTTCAATAAAGAATTCATAAAAGTTAATTACAGAGCTAACATTTTTTACAGAAAACTAAAAAATTCAAATTAGGAATTAGCATAGGCTAAACTCCTTTTTATATAAATTGTTCTTACATCATAAGAAAAGAAACAACCTAAAAATTAAAATTAATTTTATGTTTAAAAATTCACAATTTGGGCACCTTTGACCCTTACATTTCATAACTAATAAAAAAAAGTATGCAAAAGTACTTAGTAGTATTAGTAAGAGCCTTATGTTTCATGAAATACATCAAACAAAGGATTTATTTCTACTAAAAATCAATTAATATTAAGTGATTATCCCACAAACATAGATCTGAGATAACAATATATATTTTTATATATCAAGAACAATATTGGGGGAAATTGTATGATGAAGGGAAAAAAGGTTTTCTCGTGATGTGTTTTTTCCTTTAGAATTTCATTGGACTAAATTTAGTCCAATGAAGTCCTTAAGGATGAAGAAAATTTTTTCTACTTTGTAATATATTTTCCCAAACATAGATATGCAGGTGGAATAAGAATAAGCAGCTTGGAATGAGAAAGTCAGAGAGCCAAGTTCAAATTCCAGTTGAATTTGTTACATTCACTTTCACACAAACACTCTTTGGAAAGGTATGAATCCATATATTTTTCCCCCAATTATGGATTAGATATCAGTGTATAGTGTGCTCTTCAGACTTGGTTGATAACCAGTCTAACAGAAGGAAACTCTGAATTCCCAAACTCAGAGAGATAGAACTTATTTGAATAGGGACACATGGTCATCTAAGGGATGAAAAATCACCAACAGAAAACCAACTTTTTCTCAAAGAACAGAAGTTGAGAGTGGGCCCACCTCATAGGACAATTTGATTACAGGAACCTCACCAAACCTCTTATGTGCCATGGGTCATAAGAAGATAGCCACCACAGAAACATACTTATTTGTCACCCATCAATTTGCTAAATTTCCTCGTGTTGATTTCATATGGATGTTATGCTTGGCACCAAACCCATTCTGAAATATCAAAACTGTCAGCTGTATACAACCAATTTCTATGATCAATGGTTAAAAATGGCTTTGAACGAGTGAATCCTGTGGGTCTTGGCCAAATGTTTCCTTATAAGGAAATGGCTAATATTACCAATTACAAACAGCCATATAAGAAAACACATTGTATATTAAAGAAAATAAACATATGATATGATATGAGAACAATTGTGATACTATGGACACATGTAGAAGAGAAAGAGGCAGTTTTATCTCAAACTCAAGTTTTTCTGTTTTGATGGCCAAGCAGATAGATCCTTTTGAAGTTTGTTCTTCTAAGTGGCATCCACTTTAACCAAATGGCAATGGGAAGTAATTGGATGAATGAGAGATTTCTACAGATCAAGTGGCAACAAAACCGGAAATAGGTTATATATTTAATAGTGGGGTGCTGGTCTATATTGACAGTCATACTTGTGATCAAAGATAGTGCTGGTCTGCCCTTCACAGGAGACAGACATGTCTATGTCACAGTTCCAAAGCCTCCATTTTGTATTTGCCAGCAACCACAGCTGGATGAGATGGGTGAGGAGTTGGTAGGTTTGGTTTGGTTAACAACAGATCAACTTCATATGTGTCATTTAGTGCTGATTTAATTTTGTTGGGAGTTTTGGTAAATTTTTTTCAAAAATGTATTGCTGGTTAATTTCTCTTCTTTTTCCAATAATGTATTGCTGGTAATTTATTTTTTTACTATGAAAATATATTGCTGGTATTCTTACTACAAAATGCATTTTTATACTTTCATAATGTTTTAACACCAGTTTGGTGGGTTCCCTATTTACCTATAGCTTGAACTCTAACAGGTGCTACCACCCCAGATCATAGTGGACCTGGGAACAAAAGTAATTAAGAGGTGGTTCCATGTTCCTCAAAACCTCCCAATTAGAAGCCTTGCTGCCAGATGTAGTTTATCATCATACCCAGGACATTATAGTTGATAAAGGGAAGAGCTGGCTTAGCAGAAGTTATACTAGGTATCACCTACTTACTCACTTGGATGAACAGGCAAAGCCCTGAATAAAACATATACACACAATATGGAAAATAGTGTTCTCATTCTTATTTCTTGACATGGCATTTTCTTGCGAGCATGCATTGTGACCTCTCCCAGCTTTAGGTGAACACCAACAAGCCCAAGCATTGAAATGCAAAATGATGGGGGTGGGGAGTCATTGGTATGTCAGTGGAAAGCTTGCCATGGATTCTTACACAATGCATGTTTGTTATTCTGTTCTATCCTTTGTATTAAGGTGTTAATATTGTGGATATAAGTAAATTCCATCATGGCCAGATATTTGGCCAATGGACATTTCACTGAAAAAGTACAAGTAAAAATAGTAACAATCAATACTTTAAGTATATTAATAGCAGTATTGTAAGGTAGAATAGGACTAATAATTACCACTGAGTTTCAAGTAATTAAATAAATCTAAATTTAAAGTTAAAATTTTTCTTATTTCAATATTTGTTTACTGAATTTAGTATTTTTAAAAATATTTGTGCGTATTTGGGTAAAAAGTAGTATCTAATTATTTAAATTCGTATTTAACAGTAAAATAAAAGCTAGTTCATCCCTGTAAGATAATGATCATTAAAAGTGTAAACGCTTAAGATTTTTGCTGTAGTAAAATGTGCTTTTTCTTAAAATATTTATCATCTTACAGTAATATTTGAAGTAAAATATAATATATACAAAATAGATTTTTAAAAATTAATAGAGTAAATAAATATATGTAGCACATTACGATAAAGAGTGTGACATACATGTAAGTACGTCACTACATTTTACTAATGCCTATAATTGGGAAATGGAAATTGACTGGAAAATATTCTCTCTTTCCAAGCACCCATATTAATACCATCATTATCTCAGATTAATATATTCTTTTATATAGATTTGTTTTAGGTATAATATTGATATTAATAAAATCAAAGGTAAATAAATTACTTTACATCATGAAACATGGATACTTAGAAAGTTTTAATCAATAAAGAGACATTAGAATTTTATATTCACACTTACCTGACTTGTGTACAATATTTAATTGCTGAATATTGCCATTTATATTAATAGAACTTGTTAGATCTAATTTGAAAAAGAATTTGAAAACAATTTAAAATGTAAGATTATCAAAAAAGCAATAAAAACTAGTTTAAATAATAAAATTGTTGAATATTGCCATTTATATTAATAGAGCTTGTTGATAGATCTAATTTGAAAAAGAATTTGAAAACAACTTAAAATGTAAGATTATCAAAAAAGTAATAAAAACTAATTTAAAAATGTACAAGGGTAAATCAAAAATTATCTGCAATTCGCCATAACATATTTTTCGGTTTCTCATGCTGCTTTCTGCTCATGCATTCTTATAGTTGATGCTATTGTGGTCATGTGATCAAAGTGTGAGCTTGATCATGCCAGTTTTCTTGCTGTTGTTACAATGTAATCATTACTGCTGCAATAGGAATGTGCACCAAGAAAGACCAATAATATTGCTGATTCTTCTTTGGAATTTATCAAGAATCTCTAAATATAAAGCAGGAGCACCAGACCATATATAGTGATATACACCTGATGAAGGCTGGAGGGCAATATATTGTGATAACAACAGTAAAGATGAGCAACTTACTCTGTAACTTACTCTCTTTATCAACTTTTTTCATAACATTGTTTAAATATAGAGAAAAATCTCTTGCTGGTAGCTGCGGGGCATTTTCAGTGCCTGAAAGGAAAAAATATGGAATTATCATAGAGACATGTTGGGTATCTACAATATGGGTATCTACAATGTGGTTAGAAAGGTATACTCGGTAGTAAGTTAAGGAGGATTTTACCAATAGTTAAATAGTTGCCTATTACATTATTTATGATACATACATTATTCTGAATAAAATAATTAATTTCCACTTTATCTTCCAGCAATATAATCACATGTTTAGCATTAGCACTTGCACTGGGACTTTTCTTCAGAGCCATGGACAAAAATGTATTCTAAATTACAACTGAAATGTAATTGAAAGGATGTCAATGGACAAGCACAGATGTAAACAAGTCTGAATTCAAAATCAGTGTTGGAGTGGAAAACAATGTATGAGTGCCGAAATGTTTCAAAATAAGAGCATCTGCTGAACATACTTTATTATGCTATTTTTTAAATGATTTTTTATATATATATATATATATATATATATATATATATATATATATATATATATATATATATATATATATACATAATATTTTAAAATTTATTTAAAATATGATTTTATGTGTGTTTATTGTTATTTTAGTGTTTTGATGTTTCTAATATTTTTAACGGCTAATGTAAACTCAAGTAATATGACCTAAGGTGAGTTTTATTTTTCATATAATAAGAAAAACCGACATATCTTTGAAAATGACTTAACTCAAAATGACTTAAGACAAGGTATCAGTGTACTAGTTTGCAGGAGTTCAACACACATCTAACACCTTGTAAACAAAACTTCTCTTTATTAATTATCTGAGAGAGTGCATTCTGCTTCCCATCAACATGTCTGATGCTAACCTCCTAGAGAGTGACTCAGATTAAAGACATACTAAAAATTATACAGTGCTTTGTTAACCTTTGCTATCTTATCAACATTTGCTTTCTTCTACCTACATTTATATACATTACAAATTAAACTAAGCACCTAAAGGATGAAAAATTTTTGCAGATTTTGATATCATTCTGGGTCTTTTTTTACCCTCCAAATTGTGAATTTGTTTAAAATTTAACTTTTTTAGTGAGAAATATCTCAAGTTGGTGTTAAAAATTGCCACAAATCATTGTTGATTTAAGATGGAATGATCTATTATGACATGTTTCTAATTTGTATTTAGATACATTGTATTTATTTTCGATTTTTCTTGTTGAATTGTTCATCTATATTGCATATGATCAATTATTGTACATAATTAGATTACAATAAAAATGTATTTTATATGAATACTATGAAAATTGAAATGTAGTAGAGTTGCCTCCTCCATATCATAGAATACCGGGAAGTTACTTTTCAATCACCTATATATATATATATATATATATATATACATACAACTATTTATATATATATATATATATATATATATATATATATATATATATATATATATATATATACCCATGCACACTTACATATGTATATGTGTCCCCTTATATATACCTTATCATATATATTGAAGGTTTTATTTTTTATTTATATCTATGGACAAGAGAAGGACTGTAAATTGTTATAATTTGTCTGAATTTCCAAGATGAAGAAATATCAGATTCTGTATTATGTACATTATTTACATTATTCGGACTATTGTCCTCATCTATGTCACCAACGTTTCAACGGCCTTCTTCAGGTGGTTGTAATGTCGAAATGAACCCTTATTATCTAGTTCCACATGCCATGTTTGATGGATGTCAGTTATCAGTTATCTCCTGTTAATTTCCCTCTGAGAGTTCTCCACTGCCTTAACCAACGCCTTTATCCACTGTGCCATGTGTCCTTGAGAACATCTGGGTATGAATTTCTGGGTATTATAAACCTAATGCCTTCAGCAACCATTTTTACCAGTGCTCATATTGCAATTTTGCTGTTATCATTGCATGTTTTTTACCAGAGCTCATATTGCAACTTTGTTGTTATCATTGCTTTTCTCTGGCACTCCTTATTACTGGTTCCCATATTGTAATTATTTCTATGCTTGGTAGGCTCAGGAGATTTTTGTGGCCTAGCATATGTGCTGATTCCTTAAGTTTACGAATTTTCCAATGGTGTTCCTTGTCTATGATCTCAACATGATCCCACAGAGGGCGGTGGTTTTTTGGGGGCTGCTGCCATGTACCCAGGGTAGTTGTTACATTGTAGGGATCCTCCGTTGCTTACAACACCGAGCAAAAGAACTAGAACAGTCTACCTCAGTGAGCGAAATAAAGGGTTCAGTTCGACATTCCAACCACCTGAAGAAGGCTGGAGCATACAACGGCCGAAACATTGTAATAAATATGGCAACAAAGATGAGGACAATAGTCCAAATAATGTAAATAATGAAGAAATATCATTATTTACACGTAGACTATTGTCCTCATATTTGTTAGTGTCATCACAATATTTCAGGCATTGTGTCATCTGGCTTTCTCCAGGTGATTGCAGATCCAAGCAGGGAATTTTGAACTGAACCCATTATTTTCCCAAGTTAAAAAAAATTATATTGTCCTTCTCTTTTACTTCTGTAAAGAAATACTGCCAAACATTTAAGTTTATAGTAAAGCTTTATTCAATACAATTTGACGACTGCTCATAATTGAGTTTCAGCCATTGTTTTTATAGTCAAAGGGAGACAGCTATGGTTGCCTTTCACCACATGCTTGTGATGAAAGGCAACCATAGTTGAAACATTTCTTTTATAGTCAAGTAGTTCAAGGGAGAGACAACTATAGTTGCCACCTCTGATAACTTCCAAAGTTAAAATTCCACATACAGTAGAGAATCTAATACAAAAATAAAAACTTACATCGTTCTTCCATATTTTCTTCAAGAATCCTGTTTGAATAATTGGGGAAATCTCTTTTTGGTCTCACTGGACAATTTTCAATACCTAGAAAAAAAAAATATCTAGCTAACTTTCCATATCAACTAGAGATTTAGAGAACCTCAAAGCAAGGTCTATGACATCTAATTATGGTATTCACTTGATGCTTATAGAGAATTTCAGACCTTTGTACCGAACTGTTTTCGCACAAGTATTTAAGAGGTATTGACAATTATTTTCATAGGTGGATGGTGGAAATTGTTGTAACTCATACAATGATATTTCAACTTCTGTAGTTCCAGTATTTGACACCACCAAATACAGAAACCTCCCATCACCCTTGAGCAAGAACTCTGAGACAGGCTTACGAATGGAGATGGGACACTTGCACACTTCTACCACCTGAGTCACACAGTCCCACCACCTGAGGAGAATCACACCACTTGAATTGGGACACTCACACAGTTTCAACACCTCAGTTGGGACACACACACAGTTTTATTATCTGAGTGAGGCATTCACACAGTCTCACCACCTGAGTTGGGACTGAAACTCTTACACCACCTTTTATTCTTTTTTTCTAACATGATGCTGTATATCATGAAATATCAATGTTTTGTCCATTTTCTTTTAAATCTTAAAGAATATCATTTTTATCTGCATCATCTGCATTCAAACTATTATCCTCATTTTTTGTTGTTATTATCACAATATTTCAGCCATTGTATCCACAAGCCTTCATCAGGTGCTTGTAGATCTAAGTAATTTTCAGTTATGGCTCACCCCATGTCTACTGAATTTGGTGATATAGTAACTGTGAGTTCAATCCCTGGGTCAAGCAGTGTCTATTTGAACTTGGTGTAAATGGGGTGAGTAATAACTGAACAGTACTAAATAGGAACATGATAAGATATCCCTAAACATGGTGAGTGGGATGAGAAAAATTAACCCTTGTAGATTAAATAAAGGTTTCAGCTTAAAGTTACCTGGATTGACAAGCACTTGATGAACACCAGGGCACACAACAGCCAAAACATTGTGATCTGTGCTGACACCTACTGACTGGAGGTAGGAAGCCAGATTGGATGCCCTGGACAGTGCATTGTGATCCTCACTATCTTATCAATATCTGCTTTTTTCAACCTACATTGATATATGTTACAAATTAAACTAAGCACAAATGACTATTAAAGGAGGAAAAAATTTTCATGGATTTTGACATTATTCTGGCATTTTTTTTTTTTTTTTGTCTAAATCTGTGAATTTGTTTTGCTCAGGTCTCAAAAAAAAAAACATGATATAAAATTCACTATTTTTTATCCTTTAATGTTGAATGCATTTATCAATCTGGGGTTAGAAGTGGGTATTACTGGAGAGGGCAAAGGTTATGCATTATTATGTTTTAACCACTCTGGGGTTAACAGTGAATATACCTGGCAAGGGCAAAGGTTATGCTTTATTATACATTAACCACTCTGGGGTTAACAGTGAATATTCCTGAAGAGGGCAAAGGTTATGCATTATTATGCATTAACCACTCCAGGTTAAATAGTGGGTATTCCTGGAGAGCACAAATATTATGCATTATTATGCATTAAATACTCTGGGGTTAACAGTGGCTATTTCTGTAGTGGGCAAATTTATTTAAAGCCAAAAAATATTTTTAGTGTTCTATAGTGTTGTTCTATGACCAGTAATCAACTGTCAGCTTTTTCTTGTCTGACTCTTTTTTCCACACCTTATTTCTCCTACAAGCAACATATGCAAATAAGTAAAATCGTATTTGCCAATCCCATTATACCTCCCCAAACCAAAGAGTTTTAATGACTTTCATTGTTCTTGAACTTCTACACCCTTTTCTTCCTTTCCCCCTTGAGGTTACCTTGTTGTTTTTAATGGAGATTATGACCTAATTTAAACTTCTTCCATGTCTGAGTCATTCCCGCTATCATCCATAGACTTGTCTTCTATTACATCTTGCCCTGTTTTCTGTGTCAAGATCTCCTTACAACACAATGTTTTCCTTTTCAATTCTGGGTCTTAATTGGTCAGAATAAGCCATTAGGATTTTTCCTTTCTTTTATATAATGACCATGTTATGTCCCCTTTGCATGATAAAATTAGCTCTCTCAGGACTTGTTACTTTGTATTTTTTATACCGCATCTTTTTATTTGTCAAGTAAGATATTGTTAATAGTGATCCTATTTGTCTTACACTTAATGCAGATGAGCTTTGCAATCTGTCTACATGTGGAATCATCCTGTAACTAAGCAGTAACCTTGGTAAGTAACTGCTTATTGGATCTCTACTTGGGGAAAATGCCTTCAGTCCCATTTTTAATGTCTGAACCATTCTTTCTGCAATCCCATTAGATTGTGAGTGATACAGTGGTATTCTGCAAGGGAAGCTGCCAATTCATCTCAAAAAATTGCATAGATCTTCATTACAATATTCTGATGTGTTGCCTGATACTCTAATGTTTCAGAGAGACCCCCATTTTTAGAAACTATCACTCTTAATATTTGTTTTCTTGTAGTCATTGTACTGTCTTTAACTTTACTAACTTCAGGCCATCCAGAAAAAGTATCTAATAAATTAGAAATAGTCCCATATCATTAATGTGTGCATGGTCCATATGAACACGAGTCCATGGTTCCATTTTTTAGGCCATGAGTGCATTCTCCTTTGTCAGAAATGTTTTATTTCTGCACGTTTTGGGCATTTATGTATATATCTTTCTATATTGCAATAATACCCTGGCCACCATGGCTCCAATTTTAATCTCTTCTGTGTAGCTGTTATCCCACAACACACATCATCAAATACACTTTTTGAAATATCTTTTCTTACAGTGGTACATTGCATATAACACTGTTTTCCATCATTAATTCATGACTTATTTCTTTATAAGATCTTTCAGCTTTGGAACAGTTACTCCACCTGTTTCTTCTTATTTTCTCAGTAATCTTTGCTTAATATCAGATAATGTAAAGTTTCCAATACCTATCTTTGTAGTGATAATATGTCTGTTTCAACCCAATATATTTCTTCATCTGGGATTTCCATTTTTCATTTTTAATCCTTATTAAATTATAACCTTGACAGCACATCAACATGTGGTATTGTACTTCCTTTTAAATACTCAATGTCAAAATCATATGGCATTAATTTTATTGCTCACCTTAGAATTCTGGAACACATAACTTTTGGTAACTCCTTTTCAGGGTTAAAAATAAACTCTAGAGGTTTATGGTCTGACTTTAATAGGAACTTCTTACCTAATAAAAATTGTTGAGAATTGTCTGTGCTCTAGTCTGTGGCCAATGCCTCTTTTTCAATATTTGAATAATTTATTTTTGCTGCTGTTGCAATCTTCTTGGAAGGTCCATTATTGGATGGCCTACTTGTGATAAAATCGCTCACTTGCATCTGTAGTTAACATAACCTCCTTTCTGGGATCAAAGATTTTTATAATTGTTTTTTCTGCAATTATCTCTTTTAAATCCTCAAAAGCTAAGTTTTGCATTTGAATCCATTTGAACTTACTATTCTTTTTACGCAGTTCAGCAAATGGTTCTATTAAGTCACTGTATTTTGGTAGGTATCTATTATAAAAATTAACCAAGCTAAAAAGAATTGTAATTCTTTTTTATTATTAGGCATAGATATTTCTGAAATTTTCTTAATTAACTCCTGTATCTAGTTCAGTACCATCTTTTGAAATCTGGAACTCTAAATATGATATTGTATTGCAATCAAATACACATTTATCACATTTATTCAGTAATCTTTAAATTTCTTTAACATGTTCTGTTTTTTGTTTTAATTCATTGTCAAATATCATTTTGATAAATAATCATATTACTGATTTTGTCAATTAACACATTTTCCATTGCTCTCTGTTAAATGGTACTTACCATTTTCACTCCAAAAGGCATTTTTCACCACCTTAATAATCCTATGGGGATGTTTATTGTGGAAATGTCTTTGAATTTATCATCAATCTCTATTTGATTATAGTCAGATTTTAAATCAATTTTTGCAACAAATTTCATGTCCAATAATTTGTGGATTGTGTTTTCAATATTGGGAACAAGAAACAAATCTGAGCATATTTTATGATTTACGCCTATTTTAAAATTATCACATATTCCTAAGTCTCCATCTGATTTTTGCAAGACTACAATGAGAGAGATCTAATTACTGCCACCTGCAGGAACATGCTCCCAAATTCTTTCCTCTTCCATTTTCTTTAATTTAGCAACCACTAAAGGTAGAAGGGGCATAGGTAATTTATAGGATTCAAAATAGGAGGAGATACTATTTTCACTTAATTGTATGCTTGATTTATACCTGCTGTAACACTCCCATCTTTACTTTTTCTGATTTTCCACTACTGATTAATTTCAATATATCTATAAATAGTGTAAATAATTATATTTTCAAGTTTTTTCATTTTTTATTGGAGATGTTCTTAGAATTTAAAATATAATTATGCTGTTCAATTGGCATTTCAATATGAAGAAATAAAATTATCTGGATTTGGAAAATTTGCCTTTAATTATTGTCCATTTTTTTAAAAATTAATGTTACAGAATGTGAAGGCCAGAAACAGGATGGTCAACAACTGGTCAGAATACCTTGTAGGTGTGATATTCTGACAGTGATGGATTGCCTTTGTCTGGGTTTTGGATATAAGTGAATTCAAGAGAGGGCCATAAGAATTTTGAAGCTTCAATACACTTCCCACACCCAGGTTCAAGAGAGAGGCTAAGACCACACATGGAGGGAAGTTAAGCCAACAAGCAACATGTGACCTCTCAAAGCCCTTCCTCTCTTAGAATCCAACCTGCCACATCTGTCCCTTTCCTCCAATAAAAACAAGTCAGAAAAAGAAATCATCTTTTCGTTAATTCCATCTATGCAATGGCACTGGAATCCATTGATCACATGCAATTGCAACATCACAAAAATAGCCATATCAACTTGATTATCCTGGTTATATTTTTATGAATAAACAAAGCTAATCTATCCATGTACTTTTAAAAGATAATCTTTGACCATTGATTTGAAGAGGTTCAGATTACAGTTATCAGGGAAGTATCCCCTTGGATTACAACAGTTCTGTGAAAGAACCTGCCTGAGTAGAAGTTACTCCTTACCAATTGAATATGAAGAAAATGTGTCAACTCAGAGTACATAACATTGTTGGTCCTAGCTGTAAAAGTCTGAACTGGTATAACCAAGGAATGTAGGTCACCTGAGCATTTGCCATAGCAATAACTATAAAGTAGTATGAGGTTAGTAACATTTCATCCATGGGAAAGTAGTTGAAGGGTGGAAAACAATTCATCACCCACAAGGCCAGATAAATGCTTTTGAACAAGGTTGCAAAGTGTGAACTCGGCAGCTCCAGTCCAGATGTGGCAGCAATATTCCATTGTTTTCTTGATATTAAGATATCTGCCATGCTGATAGGATTTTAAAATATGCCATTGGTTTACGTACCTCTTGAATTTGGGCGTAGATAATCTGCATTTATGTCAAAGGTCGATTGTGTTATGACGTCTCTTACCAATTCTGAACTTGGTAATGATGGTAATGGTCGACCTGCATCAAAGAAAGTAAATACCAGTTTTCATTTTTTTTTTTTACATTTGTTTCATGTTTTCAGTATGTTATAATTTTTTTTGATAAAGCTTATTTATTGTTATAAAAATAAATATAAAACAATTAAAAATCAATGCATAAGAAAAAATATATATTATCATAGAATGTTAATAACAAAAAATATGTATTACCATAAAATGATAATAACAAAAACATATATTACCATAAAATGGTAATAATAAAATTATATATATTACCATAAAATGGTAATGATGAATTATAAGAACAATTAAAAAAAAGCTAAACTGGTTCAAGAGGAGGCAAATTTTGCAATTAGTCACGATAGTCAGGGAAGATAAAAAAAATGACCATATAGAAGGTATACTTAAAGTAGTAATTATCTAGGATTTATTTATTTTTATTTTTTTCCTTTTCTTTGGCAAAGTCTTTTTTGGGGTGGTGGGGAATTTTCTATTTGGCCACAATGTTATCCCATCATGGCAATGTTTTGACAGAGATATGAATTTGAACTGGTCTGTTTGATGTTGTTAAGCTATGAAAGATCCAGGCATTAAAAGTATATTGACAAGACTTACAGCCTTGAAAATTAAGACATTGATGCAGTTTGAGTTGAACAATAAAGGCATGAAATGCAAAACTTTGGTAAAATACAGAGTAGAAACATTTCTGCTACTGTTGGAATTAGTCCAATTGATTTGCTGCATATTTTATGAATGCAGATTTTCAATAAGTCCACTCTTATCAGAATAAAAATCAAGGGCAAAAAATGTGCAGAGCAACTAAAAATATACAACCCCAGATGAATGCCATATACAAGAAAACATAACATTAAAAGCTAATTCCTTTTAAGTCCACCAACCACCCATTTCACTTACAGAGGAATGGCTGGTAGGGCTTAATGTGTCATTGATTCCAACACTTTGAAGTGATAATTGAAATTAGTGTTGGAATCAGTGTACATTAAGTCCTACCAGTCATCTCTCTACAAGCAGACGGCATGGTTGTTGGGCTTAAAGTTAATTAGCCTTTAATGTTATATTTTCTTACATATAACATTTGTCTGTGGTTGTATATTTTTACTCATACACATTTTTTTCCTTGAGTTTTCTCTGGTGTAAGAGGACTGATAAATTGGTTTAGCTGTTTTTTAATCATTGTTATATTTTCCTATTACAATTTTACAGTAATATGTACTAGTTTTAACCAGTGAAAATTTAAAGTTTTTCCTATTTTATATTTCTGATGAATCTTAATTCTTCAGTTAATGATTGCGTGGTGAGTTCTATGACAACAAAATATCCATAGAAATCCCCCTATCATATAATTAAATATTTGAGCTTCACATCTTTAACAAAATATTGCAATAACAATCATAAATATTAATGCTAGTTTTTATTTTAAAAAGTAAAGAGGTACAAATGAAAAGATTAGAGATTGACAACTTTTCCATTTCATTGAAAGAGATGTTAAACACTTCTGCCTTCCCTTCTTTCTTTCATTTTCTCACCAAAACCAAGAAATGTTTTTGAAATGTCTTCTGACTTCTCATCAATCAAAGCTGAATAGTCTCTTATTTCTGAGATATTGGCAGGAAATATTAAACACTGTATAACTTGCTAGGTATTTTTTGGATCACATTGAAGCTGCCATCTCCAAGTTAATTCAGTGTCACATACCATTAAGAAAAAAATAGTGCAAAACTATGCTTAGTAAATAAGGTAGTATTGGAAAAATTTCAGATTTAGTATTGGAAAATTTTTTGCAGGATTTACTTTCCTGAATGTGCATTTTTCTTTCTTTCTTTTTTTCTTCTCAGAAACCAGGTAGTTTCCATATGAACAAAACATGATAGTCCGTTATTTATGAGGGCATAAGGGATAAGCCTATTTTATGGCAAACTCTCCACTGGCTATGGTGGCATAGGGACACCAAAGAAGCGCTTCAAAGATTGCCTGAAAAAATCTTTCGGTGCCTGTCACATCAACCATTGCCAATGGTCAACCCTAGCTGAGAACTGTGATACCTGGCATCTCATTACTAACCATGTTGTCTCCTTCTTTTAAAATACCTGCATGGTCACTCTCAAGGACAAGAGACAGGAGGAGGAAGTACTGCAATGCTATGACATCGACCCAGGCCAGACTTTCAGCTTCAATTGCTGTGACTGTGTATACCTGTCCCGCATTGGACTTATCAGTCACAAGGCTGCCAGTAAGTGACATGTACAGACTCCCTCTTGATTTTTGTTTTGCAAAGCCAAGCCATGATAAAGGAACAAGCACAATTATAATAAGATTTTTCTTATGAATTGTTTCTTTTTCATTATAAATTGCTTTTTAATAAGTCTTCTTTTATTGCTCGAATAAAAAATTAAAATGTATTTACATGAGACTATTTAAAACTTAAATGTAAACAGGAAAATGAGGGCAAACAGTTAAAATTTCATACAAAAAAATAGGAAATTTGTTGATTCAAAGTTATGAGCTTTTTATTAACATTCTATCTAAAATGCTAAATACACACACATATCCATGCTGATATATATATATCTATGTAGATATATGCAAACACACTACCCATACACATCCACAAGTCACAATTGCATACAAATATAGGGTGCAACAGATAAATTGTTGTCTAAATTATGCAAAATTGAAAATAACACTGACATATCATTTTAACAGATATATTTATCAAAATTACACAAAAATATATTGAAATACTAAAGATTGAATTTATTCAATAAAATCACCATTGGCTTCAGCCATGTCCCTCAGATGACTTCAGAATCTCTTGCAACTCTTCTGGATGGTCTCCTTGTTTAAGTTAGTGAACGCTGTCATAATCCTTGCCTTCAGTTCATCTTTAGTGTTACAAGAAGTTTTGTTAGTCTCTTGCTCAACTGCACCCCATAATAAAGAGGGTTGCAGTCTGTAGAGTTAGTTGGCCAGATGTAAGAGATAATGTAGCCGCAGAAATTGTCTGACAGTCCTGACTGGGTTTTCCTGACATAGTGCAGAGTTCTGTTGCCAGACTTAGGCTCTTCCAGCAATCACCTTCTTGACCCATGGCAGCACTACCTCCTCAAGGCACTTGATGCAGGCCTCCATAATGGAGGCATAACATTGCCATCACTAATGATCACTCCAAACATCTTTGTAATCACCATTAGACTCATCCAAATCTTTCTGAATCCTTTGCACTGTCCTCTGATTGACAACCAAACACTCTGAAATGTTCGTATTGGAGCTTCTGGCATGAATGCTAAGCAGTACAAGTGTGTGTATGTTTTTTTAATCATTTCACCCCAGGCAAGGCAATAAAGCCACTAAGAAACAAGAGGAGGGTTACTGAGAATATGAGAAAAAAGAAATGCTATTAAGGGTAAGCAATAATAAAACAACAAGAATTAAGAAGACAGTAGATAACAATTGACATTGTATTTAAATTTTTAAAATTCCAAGTTGACTAGGAAGCAAGAAGCTGGAAGAGAGAGGTGCAAGAAAAGAAACTGTTAGCATAGAACTCATGGTTACATTGAGCCATTTCAACTGTAAAATGATGAGACCTTGCTGCCAATCTAATACAATGCTTAAATTCATAAAGTCTAGGTACCATAGCAGAAAGTTCAACAGAATAATTATGATGAATGTATTTATAGAAAAGTCACAGGGTAGCTACATTACTGTAGTGGAAAAGTAACTGAAGCAGAGATGCCAGGTCAGAACCAATAACTTGGCAGATACATTTTTGAATTTTATCAAGAATCAAGATGTTATATAGGAATAAAGTGTCACTGTTGACACTTGGGTTTGAACACAGATTATCAGTGTGCAAACACAGGTGATTCCATTTCTAATACGTAGACCACATGGTCGCAAAGGAAATGTATATATGGGAATTAGCATGGTGTTTAATTGATCCCTCTTTCTACACTATCCACTATCTCTATTACCATACGGATTGCGATTCTCTTCTCTATACTGATCGCTATACAGATTACTATACGGATTACTGTTCGGTGCTTACTTTTCAAGCAAGTATTATCAAGCAAGTACTATTAGTGCGAGTGTTATTTGAAGGCGCCTGGCATCAGTATTGTTCAACAGCGTTACTATAGTTGTATCTGTGATTAGAAAGTCTCTACTACAACAAGCATTACAAAAGTGACAATGAGTATTTGTTGACATCGCAAAAGTGGCAATGAGTGTTCATTGACGTTACAAAACAAGATCTAGCAATTAATTCAATATACTCTTTCCACTTCATGTCAATGTTTGGCAAGTGTTTTCAATGACAAGTCATATTTAACTGTGGAATGGAATAACAATAACCAACTTGCTATTTATAATTCAAAAAATGGGGAACAATTTGAACAAAAAAGGTACTTTCTGGTTGTTGGATCTGATAAGGTTATTTATTACCTTTTCCTCGAAAATATCCATCGCACTTTCCACACTCATGGGCTTGTCTTTCATTCCAATCTGATTCCTACCTAGCACATAGAGGTGTTAGGTATGTAAAAATTGTCTGCACCTATATATAGAGACTGGTCACATGATGTTAGGTGGTCTCTCATCGGTTAATAAAACCACATGGGTTCATAAAAAGCTGACCACCACCAGAGAAGAGACTGGACATGCTCCAAAGTAACAAAGAAATTTTCTTTGCCACCAACAGTACCAGTTACTGAGGGTTTAAATGTACAATCGAACTAGCCCTATTTCACTCCACCTGACATATTCTCTATATATAGGAAAGGACATTGTGTTTATTGTATTCATGTTTAGGTGTAAATAAATATCATTATTACATATTCTTCTTACTTGTGTCAGTCCAAAAAGTAAAGTGAGAGAGATAAAACACATTGCCTGGAAAAAGTTTTTCCCCTTCGTTTCATTATCTCCATTTTTACTTGGATAGTATTCTCCATCCTACACAGAGGAGTTTAAAATCATTTTGAAAGAAACAACCAATTCTTACAATAATCACCAATATTTGAAGGTTTCAAATGCAAAACATGTCTGGGCAGAATATTTTGTGATCAGTTTGCGAATAGGAAAAGAAATACATTTGCAAAAAGTAAGAACAAAACTTAACTTACTTCTATAATCAATGGACATATTCCTCTGTCGTGACTTTTTATTAGTAAAGTACAGATATATGAACACTGAAAGAAATATAAAGAACAAAATATATATATATATATATATATATATATACATACATTTCTTTTTATTAAAGTTATAAAGTTATTAATTTTATAATTCAAGTTTACTAATACAAGTTTCAAAAGTCAGTAATGTCGAGTTGGTTGATTTTGCTTAGTGGCATATCAACCTCTATGGGTTATTTAATTCCCAAATCTACATATTTTGAACAACTTGTATGTCTTCAACTACAGATAAGTTGTATTGTTGATATTTTTGCTTTAAATAGGTATTATTTGTAAATTTACTATGAAGAGGTATTGTTGGTAATTTTATGATAAATAGGTATTATTGATTAGCTGATTAGGTTTAGCAGCATGTCAAAATCTATGGGTTTATTTAATGCTGAAATCTAAAACATTTGACTGGTTTGGTTGTTTTTGTTTAGCAGTATTACAACTGCTATGGATTATTAAATACTGAATCTAAAAATTTTGAAGAGTTTGGTTTGGTTTATTTTTTTAGTGGCATATCAATCTTTATGGATTATTTAATGCTGAAATCTAAATATTTTGATTAGTTTCCTTTGGTTTGGTTGATTTTCTTTAGTGGCATATCAATCTTCATAGGTTATTTAATGCTGAAATCTAAATATTTTGATTGGTTTGGTTTGGTGAATTTTTTTAGTGGCATATCAATCTTTATGGGTTATTTCCTGCTGAAATCTAAATATTTCGATTAGTTTCCTTTGGTTTGGTTCATTTTCTTTAGTGGCATATCAATCTTTATAGGTTATTTATTGCTGAAATCTAAATATTTTGATTAGTTTAGTTTGGTTGATTTTCTTTAGTGGCATATCAGTCTTTATGGATTATTTAATGCTGAAATCTAAATATTTTGATTAGTTTGATTTAGTTGATTTTGTTTAGTGGCATATCAATCTTTATGGGTTATTTCATGCTGAAATCTAAATATTTTGATTAGATTGGTTTGGTTGATTTTTTCAGTGGCATATCAAACTTTATGGATTATTTAATGCTGAAATCTAAATATTTTGATTAGTTTCCTTTGGTTTGGTTGATTTTCTTTAGTGGCATATCAATTTTCATAGGTTATTTAGTGCTGAAATCTAAATATTTTGATTAGTTTGGTTTGGTTGATTTTTTCAGTGGCATATCAATCTTTATGGGTTATTTCATGCTGAAATCTAAATATTTTGATTGGTTTGATTTGGTTTGGTGAATTTTTTTAGTGGCATATCAATCTTTATGGATTATTTAAAGCTGAAATCAAAATATTTTGATTGGTTTGGTTTGGTTGATTTTGTTTAGTGGCATATCAATGTTTATGGGTTATTTCATGCTGAAATCTAAATATTTTGATTACTTTGATTTGGTTGATATTTTCAGTGGCATATCAATCTTTATGGATTATTTAATGCTGAAATCTAAATATTTTGATTAGTTTGCTTTGGTTGATTTTGTTTAGTGGCATATCAATCTTTATGGGTTATTTCATGCTGAAATCTAAATATTTTGATTAGTTTGGTTTGGTTGATTTTGTTTAGTGGCATATCATTCTTTATGGGTTATTTCATGCTGAAATCTAAATATTTTGATTAGTTTGGTTTATTTTTTTAGTGGCATATCATTCTTTATGGGTTATTTCATGCTGAAATCTAAATATTTTGATTAGTTTCCTTTGGTTTGGTTGATATTTTCAGTGACATATCAATCTTTATGGATTATTTAATGCTGAAATCTAAATATTTTGATTAGTTAGTTTGGTGAATTTTTTTAATGGCATATCAATCTTTATGGGTTATTTCATGCTGAAATCTAAATATTGCGATTAGTTTGGTTTGGTTGATTTTGTTTAGTGGCATATCAATCTTTATGGATTATTTCATGCTGAAATCTACATATTTTGATTAGTTTGTTTGGTGAATTTTTTGAGTGGCATATCAATCTTTATGGGTTATTTCATGCTGAAATCTAAATATTTTGATTAGTTTGGTTTGGTTGATTTTGTTTAGTGGCATATCAATCTTTATGGGTTATTTCATGCTTTTTATATCTAGATATAATGAACAAAGTAACCCGAGTGTTGGTTTTCAATAATAGTTTTATAATCGGATGTAGGTGTGTCAAGTACAGAGACAGAGTCGGGAGTATGCTAACCTCAAGGTGTTAACACACGAAGACTTGACGACTGTCCGCTGTGGTCGTACTTAATCGGCAACCAGTCCGTCCATTATTGTGAATGGGGAAGTTGGGTTATATCATCACAACACCTCCCTGAAGCTGAAATTCTCCTTTTGAAAATTTCTGCTTCTAATGTCGTCTTTTTTGGTTCCGGGCTAAAACGCTCCACTGGTTTTCTTTCCCGTGTGCTCCTTTTTTAGTCGTCACAATTAGATCCTTTTTGGCGAAGATAATTTCCGCTTTTCCGCCCGTAAGGCTGCTCCATGCGATACAGGTTCATATACACTATTGGGTAGTGTCATGTTAAAAGCATCGCATAACACTTCCATCGGAATTTCTTCTTTTTTCACTTTCTTCACCATATCGTGGTCTAATCTGATTGATATGTCTTTTACACGTAAATTTTTTTACTTTTAATCGTGTGTAGACCACTTTACCAATCCTTTTCTGGATTATGCCATCCATCCAATAGCTTTTTCCACTTTTAAAATTTTTAAAAAAAAACTTTGTCTCCTGAAGTGTATTTTTTTTATGTTGACTTTTTCCTCTTTCTTTTTTTTTTTGTTTTGATAGGGTAACAATCTATCGAAAATTGATCTAATTTTCCTTGCAAACATAATTTCCGCCGGTGACATTTTCGCATCGTTGTTCTCATTAGGAGTTACCCCATAGATTGCTAAGAACTTCTGAATAGTTCTTTCTTCCGTGTCCATACCTTTATTTTTACGTAAAGCACGTTTAAAAGTGTCAACAAATTTCTCGGCTTGACCGTTCGACCTGGGATGACACACTGGTGTAGTTATGTGTTCAATGTCTAAGGCAGTACAGAAATCCTTAAATTCCATACTTGTGAACGCCGTACCATTGTCGCTAACCAATGTCCTGGGAACCCCGAAACGACTGAAAATTTCATCCAATGCACTGATGGTGTTCCTAGATGTAGGATGCTTGCACTTGACTACCTCAGGCCATTTCGATAAAGAGTCCACCAATATTAAATAATAGTACCCATTAATTGGTCCAGCATAGTCTATATGTAGACTTGCCCACGGCAAATCCGTTTTCGGACAAGGATTCATTTTGACCGGAGGTGCCCTTGCAGCCAATTGACAACCTCTACATAGTCTTACAAAACCTTCAATATCCTTGTCCATTCCTGGCCAGTATACGTAACCACGCATGAGTGATTTCATCCGAGACATTCCAGGATGACCGGTATGAAATTCTTTCAGCATATCTGTACGTAGAGATTGAGGTATAACAATTCTATCTCCGTACATCAACGTGTTGTCGCAAATTGAAAAAGGTGAAATCTGAGTTCCCTTTTTCTGTCTTTTGTTCCATCTCGTCTGGTTCCTTAATTTCACAATATAGTGATCTTTTTCCGCTTTTTTTTATTTGGTCCAAAGTTACCGGCAATTCCCTGATTGTATTCAACAAGAGACCTGATATTTCTTTTTCCTCAGTTAATGCTGCTATAACCGTCTCTTCTAAAATTTCTTCATTTTTTGGAATCAGCCTTGACAATCCATCCGCATGCCCATGTTCTTTACATTTGACGTATTCCATCCTAAAATGGTAATTACAGGGTTACACCCCATCGCTGTAAGCGATTAGCTGTATGCGTAGGAATGCCTTTTTTACCTCCAAATATTGTAAGTAACGGTTTATGGTCCGTTTGAAGTACAAATGATCTATCATGTAAAAAGCGATAGTATTTTTTAACCCCGAACACAATCGACAAAGCCTCTTTCTCGATCAGGCTATAATTTTTTTCAGTCGGAAGAACAGTCCTCGACGCGTGCGCGATCGGTTTAGTAGTGCCATCTTCATATTTGTGTAGCAGTGCAGCACCCACTCCGTACAAACTTGCGTCAGTTGCCAGAATGATCTCTTTCTCAGGATCATAATGTGCTAAGGCGAGATCTGAGAGTAGGCATTTTTTTATTTTCTGAAAAGCCGTCTCGCAATCTTTTGACCAAAACCATTTCTTGTCTTTTTTCAACAATTCGTTAAGGGGGGCTCTTAAATCATACATTTTAGGTATGTAGATTGTATAATATTGTGCCAACCCCAGAAACGATTGTAGTTTCGCAACTGTGTCGGGTGCAGGCATGTTCTTAATTGCATCGGCTCTCTGTGGGTCCAGTTTCCTGCCTTCACTGTCTATCACCTGTCCGAGGTATGTAATTCTTTCCATGAAGAATTTACATTTCTCGTGGCTTAATTTAAAGCCAAAATCTTCTAGTCTTTAGAATATCGCTCTGATGTGCGTTTTATGTTCTTGAACATTCTTACTTTTGACTAGAATGTCATCTAAATAGGCGGTACCAAACCCAAGGCCTGCCAGCATAGTGTCCATCACCTGTTGGAACAAAGCTGGGGCGACCTTTAAGCCGAAAGGAAGCCTATTTAGCTTATGAATACCTTTATGTGTATTTATACACAAATATTTTGAGCATTTGTCACTCACTTTAATCTGCAAGTATGCGTCAGACAGGTCGATTTTTGAAAAAATCTTACCACCATTCAACTTTGAAAAAATATCTTCTGGTGAAGTTAGTGGATAACTGTGATTTTTAAGGCAATCATTTAACCCTGTTGAAAAATCTGCGCACACTCTTATTTTTCCGTTTTTCTTCTTAACATAAACTGTGGGCGAGGCCCAATCCGCATGGTCAACCTTAGATATCACTCCCATTTTTTCAAGCCTTTCCAATTACTTATTAATTGTGCCTAAGGAGGAAAAAGGAACGTTTCTCTTAGGTTTAAAAATTGGTTTCACATTTTCCTTGAGTTCAAATATGACTTCCGTC